TAATTGTATAATTTGTAAACCGGCTCAGATAAATGCGCTTATTATAAACATATTCAGGCAGAAATAAAAACGCAACTGCATACTGAATCTACCGACCACACACGCGTTAACAGATCATTGCGATTACAAACATGAATAATGACAATTATAATAAGAACACAACAGTGGCTAGATAAGCTGAATGTTATCTATTTTAATGAAACAATGATTCGTTTTTATAACCTCCATACATCAAATGGTGAACCGTAACGTTACCTTTGTGTGGAGCCTGCGTCCTCTCTCACGCTCATCTGCTGCACGTGTAGCTGCTCAATTTAGTATTGTCTCCATCTGAAACGTGACACCGACGCGTTCAGCACATTGTTGTAAAAAAAAAAAACAGCCCAAAATCGTTTCAAATGATAAGAGCCGGTTTGATGTGCCGTCTCAAATGGTTGTTAGCGGCTACGACGTCCCCTTTAAATCATAGTTGATGACGCCCTCGTCAAAAGTGTAAAGGTCACACAATATTTTTGAAATCGTCGTGAAACGTTGCAAATTAGTGTTCTAAAACGTACTTGAACGCACCCTGGACAAGAGGCAATGATGGTTATCTATTATCTGTATTTAGGCATGTTATCTATAGAGGAAGTTGCCTACAGTAGTTTTTATAGTTTACCTGTGAAAGGCCACATGTCTAAACCCTAAGATTACTTTTAACCTTTTACTTAACAATCCTGGGGAAAAGGTGCAAGACAGCAATGGAAGGACAATCCGGAATCTATATTTGTGTTTCATCCCTGTTTTACTTTTGTGATCAAAGCATTTAAATATTTACATGAGAATAACTGCAGCAAAAGCAGAGAAATTCTTCATCCTTTCCCTTTGTTGAAAAAGAAACCCTGTAAAAAAAAAGAAGGGCTGCAGGGAGATGATAACTTACCTTTTAGCTCCCCTTTTCCTAAAATGCACTGCTTCTTCCATGAAAGAACCCTACTTCACCCCCTATCAATATCTCTTATATCATGTATTTCAGGGACATTTTCAAATGCATGGGAAATTGGCCTGAGTCATCCAACTGTCCGATATCACGGTGGGTTTCTTATGCTATCGCCCAACTAAAACAATGATAGTGCTGTTTGAGGAAACGTATCAAATGCCTCTTGCTACAAAGCCTCCTGGTGGTTGGCTGGCTAAAGCGTATCATATAATCACAGAGTCCATCCCAAAATGACTTTGCTTGAGAAAAAAAGGTCAGCAAATCAAACAGAAGTGAAAACAACCTTTATTTTAAAATGTAAAAGTGAAGTCGATCTTAATGATGAGTGGGTTGTGTTAGATGCCAGGGTCTGCCTGTGTGAGCACCTTGTTGGGGGCCCCTAGCCGTGGGTGGGTGAGGAGGACGAGGCCCTCCCCTGCTGGGTCAGAGGTGCACAGTGTCCAGCGGTTGTTGTCCTGCTCTGCTTTGTGGGAGTCTAGGAATGTGTGAGCCGTCATCTCATACTCTTTGCCATACGTGTTCCTACAGAAAGGGACAACTGTTACCAACAGGACGACACCCGGCATGCAGGCATTGTAACATGACTTTTGAGTGGCTTTGATGAGCTTGAGGCTGTCGTTTCAACAAAAGTACATTTACATCAGGAATGGGACAAAATGAAAATGTCATGTCACGATTATTCTAGCTGAAACAATTGTGATTCACAATATTATCTCAATATTCATCAAACATGCTTAAAAAAATCTTCAAATGGCACTAAAACATACTGTATTGACTTTACCTTGCATTATGTTTAGAAATAAATTAGTTTATTGCAAGATAGATAGATAGATAGACAGACAGACAGACAGACAGACAGACAGACAGACAGACACAGACAGATAGATAGATACACACACATCTTTTCATAGTGAATATAAGTTTTCGTGAAAAACTATCAATCAAAGAATCTTAGCCAGTAATCATAAATTAGCAACATTGTGTAAGTCTCTCTATTTAATGTAGGATTACTGCCACCTTGAGAGAATCCCCATATTATTTGTATTAGATACATCAGATTGTTAGTCCAACAAACTGATTTTTACTCACTACTCTGAGTTGCCTTGGAGTTGACTAAGATTATAGAGATCAGAGAGAGGTTTTTCAGATCACTATAACCTTATCTTTTTTTTTATGGCGCCTTATCAAGCTTTTAGCTTATAGTTATAGTTAGCTGACCAACATCCACATTGCAGTTTTCTTCGTCTGATATTTGTCTTTTTGTTAAATGCCATTATTTGTGCCAAACCTGTGTACCTCACAGACATCAAATCAAAAGCATTGCCTTTAACACAGCAACATATGGTGACTTTTAAAGGGGAAATGGAAAATACCAAATGACGTGATCACCCAGCACAGCGAGAGCCTGGTTTGTCTTGCAGTGTATGATCAGCACACTCATATTAGCCTGGAAAAAAGAAAAGCCAGTGGATGATTTATTGGAAATTCTCAGTTCAACAGAGGTTGAGCAACATTACACTAACAGTTTAGTTACAGATTGAACAGACAATAACAGTCTGATGTTGTGACAGGTTAGTTCAGCATGAAGATTTGGTTAAGACTTACAGGAACAGGCTGACCCTCATATTCAAGCCTCTCTTGGGGGTCAAAGTGAACTATCTTCCACCATGACAGAAAGGAGCTGCCGTCTTCCAAGTTAACTTCTTGTAGCCGGGACTTCTTTGCACACTTTAAATAAAGTCACAATAAAATATATGAAAAATAACCAGAGAAAATGTAGTCAATAAATGAATAATGTTAAAACGTGATCTACCTTTTGAAAACTTTGCAGGTCACTTGTCAAGTAAAGCTGAGAAAATATTTGAACACACAAAGTGACAAATTAAAGATGAGACATGTACTGCAAAATGTAAAGTGAAAAACATTTGGTGTTTAAAAAAACAACATGTGAAGGAATCATGTTTTGTTTCACTGAAAGTAAATGAGCACTTAGAAAATACATAGTCTCTAAACTAGATCTTAAAAAAATAACTTCCAAGCCCAAAAAGAAGGGTCATAATCCGGTTACTTTCTTAACCTTATAAAGCTCCCCTCAGGACCACAGAGGATATTACACAACTGTTCTCACGGCATACAAACTCAACTCCATGTGAAGAAACAGTGGGGTGCACCTCTACAACTGACAGTCTTTGTTTTAAGATCTTAATTATATAATCATATATATATGTGTGTGTTTTCACTTACTCCTCTGGCAAAGCCACTTGTTGTTTTCAGGGCAAAGCTTTGATCAAAATGAAGAGTCGACCCTTCAGGACTGCCATCTACACTAGTGGTCACATAAGCAGAGTTACAGGTTAACATCTGGGAATGTTTTATCTGTTATGTAAGCTGATGTGGTTTTAGATGTGTTAATGTTTATACCTGGTAATGATGAAGGCTGTGCGCGGGCAGGCCTGAATACCTTTTCCTGCGGCAACTCCACACGGGGATATAATGCCAGGTGTAGGAATCTTTTTAAAACTGTTAACATCTGCATTAATGCTCAATGCACTGCAGTCCCTCTCTTCTCCTCCCATGTTGACCAACATCACAACATCCCCAAAGTGCAATCTTCCATCGGTGGTCACAGTGAGATCCACCTTCACAAATACAAAAACAGCATCATTTCCATCCACATCATCACTGTGATATTATTGTTGTTATTAAAGATGTTTTAATAGCTTAAACTCTTTTCACCGGGCTCAAAATGTGCTGTTTTAGGAAGTCTACTTTCTGGGCAGCAAGCTCGCCCCTCTCTTTTTTTTCCAGGTGCTCTCTCTTTGTATCCTGGAAAACAAATCAACATATATAGAGTGTTAATTCTTAATTATTGAATGTGTCCACTCCTGCAGGTTATACACTATAAGTGCATTTTTTTTACACATATAAACAATGTAAGATGTATTACTATCTTCATCTTACATTCGCTATTTGATCAAATGCTGTTTTTCCCCCTTGCTCATGTCTTTGTTACTGAATGGCTTCTAAAGTTATTACTTCCCATGTGAATCATACAGTATCAGTAAACAGGAATTTGTAATTTTACCAATACAATTAATCATTTCTTCTAGTTAAATATTGTTTTTCAATTGCCAAAGAAAGCAAACGTTGTTTTCAGTTAATTATACAGCCTTATTATACCTGCTTTTGTTGTTTGTTGAGTAAGTTGTCCAAGTGGATAACCTGCTTTTTAAAAACTGAAATGGGTAGCTTAATAAGAATACTGAATTGCCATTTTAAATCCGTTTGGAGTCATTATCCAAGAAATGTAGCATTTAGCGTACAAACAAATTGTAAGCTTGTGTTTACATGTTGACGCGGGCACACATGTTAGCTTAGATGAATAACTTCACTCCAACTGGTGTGTTGCTAGGTAGCTATTGTAGCTAAAGTTTAAAGTTATGAACATTATAATATAACAAACCTCTTCTAAGCGCAGTTCCTCGTTCCAGTTTCCGATTTTCACACTTGTGCGATACTGAGCCATTGTAACAGTAATAGTCAGCGAACTTTTTGTGTACTGTTGATATAAAACGTGAATCTACGTTTTCGTGTTTGAGTTTTTTAACTGAGCTCAAGCATAGTTTGTGTGGATGTTTCTATGGCAACTGATGGCGATGAACTGACGAGTCTTCAGTCAGTTCTCGCTGATTGTCGCGAGAGGGCGTGCTGGTATTGCAGGCAGCTATCCAGAGTTGTCTTTGTACTTCCATCATGATCCAGAGTCAGTTAAACCTCTCTGCTCATTCTGCCTCCCACGCAAGCAGGACCATGTCCAAATGCTGTCACATGTACAGTTTTTAACACTCTCAGTAACTCACAGTTGTAAAACATTTCCAGTAGAGCTTCGTCTTTGCTTTAATGTGCATCACCAAACACACGTGGAAGCACATATAAACACGTGGAATTTTTGTATATCCATTTTCAACATACATTTTTTCAACAACATAAAAAACACAACATTGTAAAGAGTATTCCTCTATTTTTTAATGAGTACAACAAGATTAATAGTTATTATGAATTCAGCAAACTCCAGAAAAGACAAAGCTTAAAATTATTTCGTTTGACTACAATCCTTCACAGTTCCTGTGCATATCATTATTTCTGCTTTAGTGTATTTACTCTTTTCTGAAGTGCCATTACATTCCAGCTGCTGCACATTGAATAAGTCTTCATGTCTGCTGTTCATTTCCCCTTTTGTCCATCTCCTTTTGTCAGTAAACGTGTCAGTGACCATTTGCCCCCCGGCCTCTGGCTCCAGAGCCATTAATGTGACTCAATTTGTTGTTTCTTTCCTTTGGTGAATCACTGTCATCCTCCTCTTCATCACTCCGATCGTCACCTTCCAGCTGCAGGACAGAAATGTGCCACAGAGAAACATTTAAATAAGGGCAATCCCAAGACTCTTGAGAGACATTTGAGAAATGTGCAGCGTTTTCATTTCTTTCCTTTACATACATACATATACACAGCAACACCTGTAAACACACCTTACTGAATATTAACTTAAGAAGCATTCGCGATATGAGAACAGCCCAGTAAAGGTGGAGTATCTGAAGAACCAATAACATCACATTGAAGAAGTAATAGCCGAAGAAGGGAGCAAACTCCTCCAGTGGGTACACCCATGTACAGTGGATCAGCCTGTAAAAAACATACACAATATTTTGTGACACATTTTACCAAGATCACCATACAGAATCATTCCATTTCAAAAACTTACCAAAAAGGAAAAATGACAAGTCTTGTCAGCGTAAAGAGAGCTGTGAACACCACAAACGTGGTGTTAGCAGTCCGTTGCCACTTTGCATAGTTAAATACCTTGGCACCCTGCGAAAAACAATCAGTGTCACTGCTTTGTTTAAAGGGAACAGTTCACAATCATAAAGTCACTGCAGTCATGATTGTTATTGATATTTAGTTTTATTCATATAATAATTCTCATTCAATGCACATTTATTTTGTATGCTAATATCGGCGGTCAAGATAAATAATACTTAAAGGTGGGGTAGGTAAGTTTGAGAAGCCGGCTCGAGATACACTTTTTGTTATATTCCATGGAATGCTCTGTAAGGAAGTGGCAGATTTTTTCCGGCTGTGTATTTTCAAATTCTAGCGCACTCGAGCTGGTTTCTCCAAAATTACCTACCCCACCTTTAAGTGCAAATTAACAGAGTTTCATTTTTGCAGAAACTGCAGAACAGTGTTGATTCAACTCTGTGTTAATTAATGTCCTATATATTTGCTGCAGAACTGTGACGATGCAACATCACAGTTGGTTAACAATGCAGCCCTCAGTATGGCTCTACAGTAGGTATCACATCCTTTAACTTGCAACATGCACTGATGTAAAAACCATCACTCACCTCCAGCAGTATGTCAGCGGAGTCATGACAGGCCATCACAAGAGTTCCTATCCGGATGTAGTTTGAAATCCAGGAGAAACTCAGAAGAGTCAATGTGGCTATGTGATGAGTCACCTGCTCTTTAAAGTCCTACACACATACACACTACAGGTCAAATCTACAATTAATCCATCTTAATGACAAAAAAGGATAATACAGGTTTTGTGTTAAAATAAATATGTGAGAACTTGTTGATGTTAAACATCAGCACACTCACCTTCCGTTTCACATCAAATGTGAGGCTAAGAAGCAGAGAAAGATAAAAGCCCATTTCCAAGAGGTAATAATAGTACTGAGATGGGAGCATGGACTGCATGGACACATACCAGACGCATAAAGATGTTAATTATACTATATACTGTAATATTGTACCATCTGATAGATATAGCAAATATATTTACCTGTTTAGGAAAGCCTGCCCAAACCTCTTTCAGGTTATAAAGCCAAGGTTTCTACAAAAACAAAAACAGAGATTGAGAGGAGTCTACGGGATGGTCTGTGTGCCATGTGAACTGCCAGTGTGTGAACAACCCTGAGACATAGGATGAGAAGAGAAAAACACACAGCACATCACAGCGAAATAAGAGAGAAAAACTTGACCTCACAGCAGTTAAGCCAGAAATGTGTTCAAAGAAAGAATTGATTTACAAATCCTGAAATAGAAACAATCTATAAACATGCCAACAAGCCACAGCTACTTACATCATAGAGAGCAAGCACTCCGGCAACAAATGCAAACAAATAAAACACACATCTCCAATTGTGGACAGACAAGGATAATAATGTTACGTTTATCACACACACACACACACACACACACACACACACACACACACACACACACACACACACACACACACACACACACACACACACACACACACACACACACACACACACACACACCTGGCCTCGCAGAACCTCTTGCGAAGGCCTGGGCGCTCCTGGTTCCTCCTCCTCTTGAACCAAACTTGAACTTTCCTTTCTGGCCAGCTGGTCTTCTCACAAAGAGACCTCAAGTCAGCTTGAAACACAAGAAAGATCATGCCAAGATCTGCCGATTAATTTAAATATTCATTGATTAATCTATAAAGTGTCAGAATAGGGAAATATGTCCATCCAAGTTCTTGAAAGTCCAAAATGACGTCTTAAAGATTTCTTATTTTTTTCGAAATGCCAAAGGTTTTCAGTTTAATATGATTTAAACAATCAGACTCTGAAAAAAGGCAGTGGTTGTGATTGTTGCATCTTTAATCAGAGAGTGCGACAGAGAGTCAATTATGTAATTAAAATTGAATAATGTAACTAAATTGTTGATTGTTAACACACCTGTGAAAGAAGCCGTGCTTGGCTGCAGAAGTGCTTCTCCAGGACAGGGTTTGTCTCTGCTGTGAGACGAATACGGTCCCTGGCTCCCCAAAGATCAGCCAGCGGTGTGGCCAGGTACCTGCATCACCATAAAGGTGTGTGAGTATAGTGCAACACATTGTCTTACGCAAAACAGGCCTCCAAATTTGTGCAACGTAATCCATTTATTTCAAAAGCAGACAATGGCATCTGCTCACCTCTCAAACAGGAATCTGACGAGGAGCAGGCAGAGGGCGCAGGGCAGAGCAGCGTAGAGCTGAGAGGCTTTAGCGTAAACACGACCTTCACTGTCCTCCAGATCCGACCAGGAGACTTTTTCTGGCAGCCACATACGCTCCCAACACAGCCACTCCCTGACTGTATGCAACATGCTGCTAGGGAACACATAATACACCCAAGAAAAACACCAAATGTTACACTATTGATGACCATTTGGTTTCATGTTCAGGTTCTGAAATCACATTCTTCAACATAAAAGTGAGTGAGTGAGAGTTTACTTGATTCAAGGACAGAACATGAGTTCACTATTGTTGCATAAATTACCTTTGACACTTTACACAATCAAGTAAAGTAATTGTGCTTTATTTGTAATACATTTCAAAATTAGATTAGACTTGTCTCTGTCAGTGCCACTTCTCTGGGAACATGCAATCATGAAGGAAGAGTCATTTGGAGATGGAGAACAAAAGATATCAAAGAGCAAGCCAGATAAAGGAGGGTGAGGAGGAGCCCAGAGCAAAAGATTAGAGAAGTGAAGCCCTTTTGTCCTCTTGTGGACTCTGCCCATAACAGAGAAGATAAAAACTTGATATTTAATCTGTTGGAAAACTACTTCCAGAAATGTACAATCAGTCATTAATAACTAGAAATATTTCCTGTAATGCCATGATTTACTCACTAGGATACAGTATAGCTCACATTAGTTTGTTCTTTAACCTCAATGTGAAAACAAGTACATACCTGCAGGCTGTTTAGTTTTGACCAGTACCAACCGAAGAGAGGGAAGCTGAGGCAGAAGGTGGACACAGTCCAATAAAGTAGAATATGCCAACAAACGAACTGCATATTCAGTCCCTTTGTTAACAAAATAAATCAATTTATATATGCACATTGAAACAGACACACTCACCTTCCCACTGAGATGTTCAGGGACCTCTGTGTGTGTGTAGCCTGTTACTCACACAGTTCCTGTACTTCACTAATCCACTCCAGATAACAGCCCTATATAGATCCTATACGTTCACTATTTCAGCTTTTGTGGCAATTTTCTTCAAAGACGGCCTCAAAAGTTTCAAAATAAGGCAAATTAACATTTCAGCTAATGCTTTCCCTAATCTGTACGATGCACCTCAATTGTGTGAGGCATCAGGCTGCAGTAGGCATGCTGTTTTGTTCCGAATGCATATGTTGTCTCACCTGGATAGAAACAAAGTGATCCTCCCCTCCCACTCTCTCTGCTGTGATCACACCCTTGAAGTTGCAACCGGTCCTCTAAAGCGAGGTTAGCTCAGCGCTGGACAGCCCTGACAGAGCATTTTAGTATTTTCAGATACAAATGTGACGCGCAGTTGTTAAAGGGTGGGATAGTTTGTGTACCCTCACCTGCAACAATTCCCTTGGAATGCTGGGAAGCCCCCACAAAGGCCCCATTCAGTGATGGGGAGGGGAGGAGGAGCCAGTGCAGGTTATGGATTTCGTACACAAACAGAAAGAGTGAAACTTCACTCTGCAAAAATAGCACAGCTGTCAGGGACAAAAATATCATAAAAACTCACGAAACCTTGGTTACAATAACAACGTTTACCCTTTTAAGTTTTTGTTAGGCAACATTTTCAGCAAGTAATTACAATTTAAAGGTGTTCTTCTTTTGCCTGAGAACTTTGGCATTGTCAGGTTTGAGAATGATATAAAAGCAAACATCACTGAGCTTCGATATCTAAAGACAGGACACCAAAGAAGGACACCTAATCATTTCTCAGTGTTTCAGCACACACCACAGGGGGGCAGCAGCAACAAATCAATAAGCCTTTCGGTGTTGTTGACGCTGCCCGATTAGGATTCATTAGCGACATTTTGGGAATGTGTCGTGAGTGCTGGGTTAATGCCTTTTTTGTATTTGATGTTTCTTTATTCTTCTTAATCGTTGTATTCTGAAGCTGAATATGGGTAATTTGTTCAAATGAACTGCAAGAAATAAAATACTTCCAATTTTCCCATTTTATGTCAGAAATAAAAGCCTTTGTGTCTAAGTTGCCAAGACTGAATGCAATATAAAAAAAATCTTATAACCTTGTGTGTTAACAAACAAAAAAACAGATATTAAAAACCTTCATTTATTATAAATCACATTTTTTTATATATATCAAAACCTCTAGAAATAAACGGTATCTACAGGCATAAGTGTTGAGACTAGCGGTGCTGTATATATTTCCATCTTCCTCTGGTCTACAAGGCAGCACTGCTGCATGTGTGGGACAGAAAATGGTAGAGGAGCAGTGGCTATTTAGCTGTGAAAATAAACCAACAAAAAAACAAACCCCCCAAAAAGTCAGCAGGAATAGAAAGAGTCAAAGTTCCAGTGGTAATGTTTTCTGGCACGGGAGGGAGAGTTTCAGAGCCGCTTCCTCTGAATTGTCCAGCACTCCCTTTGTCAGTGTCAGCCCTAAACCTCTGAGTGGTGAAAACATGTCAATGAAGATTAAGAGGATAAAAGCACGCTCAGTGTTTCTAAGTGGTTACTCTTCAGACCCCAGGTATTATGTGGGTAGAGAGGGAGGACAGACGGAGGGGTGAGGCTCCAGTCACAGAGGGGCTAATCTGGATAGTCCTCCCCCTCCCTCTGACCCCCTCTGTCCCTTTCCCTTCCAGCTCTCTCATACTGGTGAGTTGTGCTTCAGTTCACTGGGGGAGGGGGGGATGCGGCCCCCCAGGTTTGTAAAGCTGGTGGACTGGCTAGGCTTGATGGAGCTCTCCTCAGGACCGGGGGCTCTCTGTCGGGGAGGCAGAGTGGAGCACCGGGCTTTGCCCCTGGAGCGTGGCTGCTGAGGGGGGGGGCCTTTCAGCGCGAATAGTTCAATGGGGGCTTGGGGTTGCTGGGCCGATAGAGACTCCGCAGGATGAGGAGGTGATGATGGTGACACAGGTCTGTGGGGAGGAGACAATTGGTTGCTTGAGGCTGGTAATGAAGAGCCCAGTGGGACCAGGGGAATACTTGTGGCCGCCTGCTGGAGCCTGGTGAGGCTGGTGGAGTGGCTGGGCCGCGGCAGGCTGTAACAAGCCTCCGACTCTCTTTGACGAGAAGGCAGGGTCTTGGACTTGGCCCTTGAGACTTGCTCTTTGGGAGGAGGAGCAATTAAGGAGAACGGCCTCGTGTCAATATCTGATGGAGTCAGTTCTGCCCTGGAGCCACTCAGGCTCAGGGATGAGCCTCTTTTAGACGATGGATGTGAAGGAGGCATCTGTTCCTTCTGGTGTTCCTGTTTGGACTCTGAGCGGGGGAGCTCTGTCTCACTGGCTGTGCTTGGGAAGGGCTCATCATCTACAGGACGAGAAATACAGACATGTATTATAAACAGGACAACATTACTTTACAGGAAGGATGACAAATGATAAGACATGTATTGCTAAATGAAGCTCAAAAGCCCAAAACAGCAAGACCAGCACGTGTTCTCCTCTCACCTAACAGACCCATCTGACTCATGAAGGCGTCCAGATCCACAGTAAATTCCTCATAATGAACCTCCGTCTCCGTAACTCCCTTTTCGTCCCCTTTGTTTTCTTCTACTTCCACTTCGTCCCCTTTGTTTTCTTCTACTTCGTCCCCTTTGTTTTCTTCTACTTCCACTTCGTCCCCTTTGTTTTCTTCTACTTCGTCCCCTTTGTTTTCTTCTACTTCGTCCCCTTTGTTTTCGTCTACTTCCACTTCGTCCCCTTTGTTTTCGTCTACTTCTTCCTCTTTGTTTTCTTCTCCTTTGACTGTTTCTTCTCCTACCTCTTGCTCAGTGTCCCCCTTTTCATCCTCTTCCTTTTTTCCTTCATCTTTTTCCCTCTCGTTTTCTTCTACCTCTTCTACTACACCTTTATCTTCTCCTTCCTCTCCTTGCTCCTCCTTTCCCTTCTCTTCAACTTCTTCCGAAGACCTCCCAACCTCTAGATCACTGTCACTGTTACTTCTGAGTCCGTCCAGATTGTTTTCAACCCTTTCTTCTTCCTCGTCCTCCTCCACTTGCGGCTCTTGTAGTTCTCCCATTGGTTCCTCCACCACAATTTCCATGGCGGGATAGCAGGAGATTGAGTGTTCGGGGGAGTGAGATTTGGCACGTGCTCCTTGGTCTTGATTCAGCAGAAACTCCATCAGCATCATGTTCTCTTTCTTCAGCTGTTCCCGCAGAGATCGCGGCACGTCTGGGATCATCCAGGCCACCAACATGCTGAGGAACATTGCAAAGTTCTGCAGGGGAAAAGACAGGTGGCGTTTTTAGATTATATTAGCTTACACATCAAAGGGTTCATATTTATAGGTTTTAATAACTGCAGAAGAAGGTCAGTGGTCCTAACCATCTGCCATCTACATCAATTAATGGCTCCATCGCCTGGTATTCGAGGGACATTAATGATTGATCTTCAGCTGTTCAGATAATTCAGTCACAGCGGGCTCCAGACGAGCACCATTGAAATCCCTGGCTTTATGTTAGCTTATATAAAAAGAATTCCAACAATTTAGATTTGGGAAAATTAAAGTATCTTCTTCAATCTGTACAAGCAGACAATCTGAGGGGATGTGTACAAATCAGTATCAGGAGAGGACATGTTTGTTTGACGCATCCCAAACAAATATATATACAGATATATATCTATAACATCATGCATATGCAGGCAAAAAAGACAAAACAATGGTGAAGAATGAGTAAATAACAAATGCAGTGCACATATGCGATTAAAGAAAGCCACATATCAGTTGGTTGCATTGGTGTTTGATTTGAAAAAGAAAGACTTGGAGATCAGGGAACACTTTTTAGACATTAATATTAGAACCATTGTAAATAATATTTGTATACCTGGAAGAATATTACAAAGGCCAATTTTGCAGCCAGGACAGACCAGTACTGTTTAGAGAAGGTGTAGGCATGAGAGTCCCACGGTGGGTCTCTGTAGTCCTTATACCTGAAAAACACAGACAGTGTATTAACAAGGAGAATCATACACTACCATAAATCAAAAAGGTTGACAATCAGAGAAAAATCTGAGGATTTGCCTTCTTAAAACACCTTCTGTAAACCCCACATTTTACATTTTCTGAATACTCCTGTCAAGTTTGTTAATTAGGTAAAGTAAGAGCTAAGCTGCTGGGCTCAGGATTTAAAGGAAAACCTAGGTAGGTCAGGGATAAGAGAGTCAGTCTGACCTGCACATAGAGACTCCGGTGATGAGGGTGGAGGTGGGCGCACTGCCCGGTGGGAAGTTGGTGACATTAAAGTAGGACAGTGAGTGCTCTGTGAAGCCCTTCATGGTGCCATTTTCACTGTACATGTACTGGTAGACCATTCGTGGAACAAACTCTGACGTGAAGGAGATGACAAACGCCTGGGAAGACAAACAAGGAGAGATTAATTTACAATAGTGTAATATGATCATCGTGTACCAGTTACTGCTGCAACATCAACTGGTGATAAGCTATATACAACCATATAGGATTATATTAGACTTAAAGGTACACTGGTGAGAATTTTGACCAAGTTAATTTAAAATATGTCAAGGTTTTCATGATATGTTTTGTGACAGATATAATTGCTAGTTACTTTACAAACAAAAACAAAAATGTATAAATACAGCAAAAACTATTAGTTGATCAATTGGCTCCACATTCCTGCCAATGGTCTTTTGTTACTCAACTGTTAAAATAGCTGGTATGTTGTGTAAATAAAGGCACTGACAAGTCAAGAGAAAAGGAGACTGCCAGCTAGCAAACATGAATGTTAATGCATTCACGCAAATAATTCCAACTATTTTGCAAAGGCTTTAGAAAATGCATATTGCATCAATGACTCAATGCATTTTTGTGAGAAATAGTGAATGTAAACATATTTTCTTTGTTACACAGACACTCCAGAGCGCTCCTTTTTACACATGATGATCCTCTGTCTCTTTAACGCAACATTATGTCGCAATTTTAATCTTAAAATAATGTAAATATTAACAGCTTCAAAATAGTTTATGATGCTACACTGACTTGTGATAGTAATGTGTAATATCAAAAGTTGAAAACATATACAAATGCACCTGTAAAGTGACATATGTCTATGTTTAAGACAGCTGTGTATGGGTTACTTGCATTGTAGAATTGAAGGGGCAACAATATAATAATGAACTAATTGATGTTGCTTTAAGTATGAAATTCAAATAAAACAAAAGATAAAAACTTGATGATGTAAAAAACAATGAAATGGCAAAAGCAAAACATTTCACTCATATATTAATACTCAGTATTCAAAACGTTAAGTAACTAGTTGTGCACATCAGCACAGCAGATACATACATAGTATATATACACACACAGATACACTCACACACACTTACATTGGTAATGACAGAAAACTTGCTGATTCCACAGAGTATGTTGTACCAAATCCCTGGACATAGAATTTGCATGAAAAGAGACACAGAGACAAAAAGGAAAAGGGAAATGTGTGCGGGACAGACAAAGGCAGAGAAGATTAAGGGAAAAAGTGATTACAATTTCAAGGACAGCTTGTTTCACATTCACACAGAGTGGACGTGCTCTCATGTGTGATCTGTACCTATGTCTTTACACCTCACAGCATCAGGCCGCCTGAGCTCAGTGACAAACTTTGCAGCATCCAGGCGGATTTCAATGACGTTGTTGAGCAGAGCGAACGCTGGCGCCAGCGGGAAGGAGGCCACGAACAGAGTCACAAACCCATACTGGATTACTGTAAAACACACAAAGTTAAAGAAGCATGTTGTGTGATTGCAGTAGTGAGTGACTAGTGAGTGAGCAAAAGAGTAGAAGAGACTCACTCATTTCCATGTACTCTGGAGTCACCCCTTCATAGGGTTCAAGGGTGAAGTCTTTGTCAAATTGTTGCTTCGGCCTCTTCTCTTCTGCTACAGAATCCTCATCCTGTGCTGCTCTTTTCTTTCCCTTTTCTTCCTGTATCGTTCTGTACATCTTTTTCAGCTTACTGCAAAGAAAAATGTGAGAAAACAGAGTGCAGAGTCAGAGCAAAGATAGCAACGATTGATAAATAAAGGAGAAGTGTAAGTGAAGTGTTAAAATCTTTATATATACTTACGGTATGAGAACCTCAAATACATTATTTTGGATGAGCTGCTTTCCCAGCATGATCATGCTAAGCTGGATGCACAACTCGATGAGGCAGCCTGGCGGGGCACACTGTAGGAAGAAAAAACACATTTGCTCAAGACACAGATACACATTAACCGTACTTACATTTACATACGCGTCATTTTTAATGTGTCTAAGTGAACATACCTCCTCCATGCGATAATCTCCAAAGACGTAAACATAGTCCCCAGGCCGCCCAGCAAACCTGTATGAAAAGATGTTGCATAATAAGCAATAAGGAAAGACAATGTTGAGAGGTAAAAGATTGTATATGAGGCACACACCTGCCCTTGAAGAAGGCCACATAGAAAATAGGTGCAAAGGCGTTCATGGACTTGAGGAAGAAAGACTTAAAGATCAGCTTCTCTTCAAACTCTTCCTTTGTCTTAGGAAGTTCTGTTGGAAAGGAGAAACATGAAACGTAAACACATCATGTTAGGCATCACAGTGATTGATTTTCATCCAAAGGAGTCAACTAAATAAGTAACAAGGCCTTAAATGCTCCAATCGTTTTGTTTTAATCCAAAAATATATTTATTTGTTCAGCAAATATCCATTGGCCCAATGTTGAGAGACGTGACAATACCCTATTAAACTGTTTTTATAATTTTCATAATGACAGGATTGTATTGAATACCCAGTTCAGTCAGCCACACAGCGATGGATCCGTAGACCTCTTCCAGCACCAGAACAACGAGCATGTTGAGGATGATGCCTGTGGTGGTGACGGTCATCCTCACGCTGGCCTTGGCTTCAGGGTCAGGGTTCATGGACCACACACTCAACATGCAGATACGATAAACCACCACCCCAAAAACTGCTGAGAAGGTGACGAAGATCTGCACACACAACACACATACCCACAATATTAAAGTTAGAAAACAACATAGGATTGCTTTTTTAATGTGCATGTACATTAGCATTTTTTTGTTTGCTTCTACTCTTATTTTTATGATTTCTCTCTTTTATTGTAAGGGCAGTTTTATCCTTCTGTTGAATTTGAATTAACATTTGTTTTGTTATGGTCTTTAATGTCTGGAACAAGTTCAATTGTTTCCAGAATAAAAACATTTTGCTAGCACACATTTTGGGTCACTACTATTAACACTGCCATTGTGAGAAAAATAATAGATATAATATGTTTCACAGTGAGGAAGTGATTCAAGTGAATAGACAAACAATGACAGAAGGAAAAAGCTGAATATTTCTGTTGTACACTGTTCTCACCAAAAATGAAAGTAATCATTATATAATGTTTGATGTGATTATAAGAGGAGGAATGTAAATGCAGTACCAGCAGTAGTAAAGTGGACACATTGATGAGATAGCCTGAAAGGTGATCCTCAATCTCCAGGGACTCTGGTTCAAGCTGTCGAGAAAACATGCATATTAATTGGGTACACAAAGACAAAAACATGCACGCACGCACGCACGCACGCACGCACGCACGCACGCACGCACGCACGCACGCACGCACGCACGCACACACACACAGTAATGTAATTTAGTCCATGAACAGCATGGGACGTACATTAATGCTGAGCACAGGTTTTGAGGACATTATGGTTTCTGTCTGCCAGGTACATGTTTACCGCCTGATAGAATCCCCTCCCCTTGTTCCTCTCCCTCCTCCCTTTTTCTCTCTCTATCAGTAATCTGAGCTAATCTCAGGAAGGTAAGCCGCTTTGGAGTCAACCATCCACTCGAGGTGAAGGTGGTTTCCTTTTTGTTCATCAACATGAACTCATACAGACAGAGTAGGTCTGTTACAACTTTAATTTTGAATAAAAACTCAGACATGCTGTAATTAATGCTGGTATGGATAATGTTGCTATGAAGCAACAGCCCTGCCGTCTCCCATTAGCAACTGTCTGGACATAAAGTCACACAGAAGGGTGCAGTGATACCTGTGAGGTCAGCATTTGGTCTTTTTCTCCATCTATACCATCCCCAATTTGAGCCATCTGCAAGTCAAAGCAGAGTGAGAAACGTGTTAGAAGCTGTCACTTCAGTTGGTGTCACAAATCATAAAATTTAATCTGAAACATAAACCCAGAAACAATACCTTTTTCTTTGACAGTTCTTTCACCTTTGCTTTTTTCTCCAGCAGAGCTTCTTCATATTCAGGCCTCAGCTCCTCCTGCATCACACACATGCACATGGTAAAACACACACACAAAAGAACCCTCACACCACAATTTAGTATATGGACTTTGGTCACTAGCTACGGAGTTAAGGGTTGGACAGACCTATACAACAGAGCTATATTCTATGACATTTCTGATTGAAAAACTGCATGACATTAGCAGCTTGATGTCATTAGTGGCCTGCACCTGCACAGAATCACGTTTTTTCAGGGACCTTGACCCAAAAACATAGATTTGATCAAAGGGATCAGACTGATTTCGATTGGAATTTATTTTACAAAATCAATAAAATGCTGTTTTGTATACAATTTCTTATTAGAAGACCCACCACAGTATAGTGTAAAAAGAGTCTTCTCCTGGACAACTCAAAACATGTTATCCAAATACATTGCTAATAAATATTCAAACAAAGATATTTCTGAAAGACATGATTTATAATACACACCTGGACTCGCTCCTATAAGCAGCAATGGCAGAAATACATAAAGAGAGACAGAGAAAAAGAGAGATTTGTATTCGTGCTGCAACGCTGGGAGTGTTTATAATTGAGTGTCACTAGCAAGCACAGCCTTTAAGAATAGAGCAATCCCATTACAGCCATTAGCAGGGTAAAGAGCCGTGTTAGTGCTCTGATGGTCAAGCGTAAATGTGTATGTTGACACTGTGCTGTCACGAATGATAATCTGCAAGGTAAACAACAAATGTTATTATGCTTCACCTGGGCCAGGGGGTTAACACTTTCTGACCTCACAACATGGAGAAAAACATGGATACTCTCACTGACAAGCAGTTAACACTGTGTCTATTCCAAAATATTGTGGGTGTATTCTTGAATCTATTTTGGTACCTCCTCATCCTCAAGGCTTGTAAGGTCCCACATATGTTTCAGACACATTTGGCGCCTCTTCCAGTGCTCGAGGAAACAGGCAGCTACAAGAACAAGCACAGAAGGAATAACAATCATTAGCTGTAAACAATACAAAAAGATCTCCCCTTTTCTTTTATTACACAAGAAAGTCTTATAGTGGGCAATAATGTTTTAGTTATGGAGTATTATGAGCCTCCCTTAACAGCAAACAAAATGAAGCAAATGTTTTATATACTTTACATCCAAAATGATGGTTTGTAGATCCATTACTCAACCCCTGTTAGCTTTGGCTTGTGAGAAAACGAATTCTTCTATGCCCTCACATTGAATGCAGAATAAAAAAACAGAGGAAACTCTTAATGAAAGTAAATGTTTGCTGCATTTAAAGGTAATTAAATGTAATTTATTTCAGATACACTTTTTGTTATATTCCATGGAATGCTCTTAACATCCCGATAGCAATGAATATATTAAGTGCTTTGACAATAAATACATAAAAACATTTCATCTGTGGAAGCCGTAACGCTGTAAAAAGCACGACCAATCATTTTAGCCGGCCCGGCTTTTTTCTTAGTTTGGTTGTTGTTAAATGTGGAAATAATTGACATAAAATTATTGAAATTTACTTAAGATAACATGGGGTGAGTAATTGATATACAATGTATCATTTTGGGGGTAAAGTATTCCCTTAATACAGAAATGTTCTCAACTAGAATTGATACAAACATGAGTCAACTCGTTTGGCCTACAGTGCATTTACATGCAGTTAAGTAGCTTGATATTGATATAAATCAGATATCTTTATCAGTGATTCTCGTAGTGCTGTATTCAAGTGTTCATACTCTCACTGCCACTGCTTCTAAGCTGGACTACAGAAATAAACATGATCAAGGAAGTGTCTTTGAATCATTAGTTACCCCACAGAGACATGAAGATGGCAAAGAGGACAGTTACTCCATTGTCAAACAGGTACGTCGCTCTGGTCAGTGAGCAGACGGAGCTCAGGAGCCAGTAGTCACACACTCCGTCACACAGTGGACACATGGTGATGTTATGGCGGTCATCACATGTCTCCTGGCTGAGCAAAGACAATAATGTGACCACATGTATGGCGATAATAGTGTACTTCTGATAATTATCCATTAGAGTGTTTTAATCTGCCTACCTTGGCACATTGGTATCCACAGTGAATAAACCGTACAGGAAGACAATGATGCCCAGCACAGAGGGGGGGATGAGGAGCTGAGTATAGACACCGAGCCAGGCAAAATACAACCCAATCTGCTCTCCAAAGTACTTCCTGTTGAAATGAAGCAAATATATGAACTAGTTGCCGGCCTATGGTCCAATCCTGTTCCACAGTAGTAAACAGTGTCCCAGATTATCCCAGTGAAGGCTAATGTCAAAACATTCTGCTAACAAAACTATTACTTCATGGTAGGTTCAGTAGTAGCTTACTGTTTATTTAGATCCCTTACATTTAAGACTCTCTATGAGCTTTCTAGTTAAAACACCCTGAGGCAAGGCAAGGCAATTTATATAGCACTTTTCAGCATGTGGCGATTCAAAGTGCTTTACAAAATAAAAACAAAAGACATTTAAGAACAAATACAGCATAAATACACAATTAAAGGGCATTTAAAAACAGGCATAAAAAGCAAAGATAACGAAATTAAATAAATAAATAAACACAGCAGGTACAGACTACATGACTAAAAGGCATACTGTAGTGTGAGTATGGGCAGCTCAATTAAAAGCAGCGGCAAATAGATGCGTTTTTAGTCTGGATTTGAAAATAGGAAGTGTTTCAGCGGACCTGCAGGATTTAGGCAGTTTGTTCCAGATTGTTGGGGCATAATAACTAAAAGCTGCTTTTCCATGTTTAGTTGTTATTCTCGGAACAGAGAGCAGACCCGACCCAGAAGACCCGGAGACTCCTGGATGCTTCATAGTGATGGAGGAGGTCGTCTATATACCTCGGTCCTAAGCATTTAGTGATTTAAAAACTAGCAGTAGTATTTTAAAATCAATTCTTTGGTCGATTGGAAGCCAGTGTAATGATCTCAGAACCGGGGTGATGTGATCCACTTTTCTAGTGTCAGTGAGAACTCGAGCAGCAGCGTTCTGAATCAGCTGCAGCTTTCTGATAGATTTTTTAGTGAGCCCTGTGAAGACACTATTGCAGTAGTCGAGTCTACTGAAAATAAAAGCATGGACAAGTTTTTCTAAATCCTGTTGCGACATTAGTTTTTTAATCCTTGATACATTCTTCAGGTGATAGTATGCGGACCTAATAACTGTTGTAATGTGACTGTTCAAATTCAGGTCTGAGTCCATCACTACACCCAGATTTCTTGCTTTGTGAGTTACTTTGTAGTCTGCCGACTGAAGCTCGGTGATTACTTTTAATCGGTCCTTCTTTGCTCCAAAAACAATGATCTCAGTTGGTTCAATTGGAGAAAGTTCTGAGTCATCCAGTCAGTGATGTGCTCAATGCACTTGCTCAGTGTTCTAATCGGAGAGTAGTCTCCCGGTGTAATTTTAAAATAAATCTGGTTGTCGTTTGCATAGATGCATCTGAGAAAAGAGTGTTTGCATTGCAGTCCCAACTATAGCTGTAGCTAAAGACTTTTTTTCTTTGTTCTCACTAACTGCTCCATACCTGATCAAGTCGACCGGCTGATATTTATACATGACTCCATAGTTGGCCCATTCTTCATGGAGGAGCTGAAAGTACATGACACAAGAATAAATCACAAATTGACACTTGATAATTTCATTGCAGATTGGATTTAATTTGACAATATACAGCGGTTTCATTGCCATTTCCCTCTCAAAGTCATGCTTTGAGAGGAAAAAAGCATTATACATTTAAAAGAGCTTTGTTGATTTAACTTTGAACACTTTACATGACATGTTCCTGCCCTGAAAAAGTGACAGGTACCATCTCCACTGATCCCACCAATATTTGTAGTAGGCTACCGGTAGGCTTTTTGAGAAAATTTAGTCTAAGACCAATTTGGGTCCACTGAACTCACCTGTCTGTCATTTCGCTGATCTCTCCGCCCTCTCCTTGTGAACGACCCCTGTAGAAAAAAGAACCCTTTATATAGAGATTCACTGCCTTTATTTGATGCAAAATCATAATTACAGCAATTACAATGGTTAAGAACAGTATTTTTCTATGTTTGGTGCTATATAAATCAATAAGGCCCTTAACATAAAGAATATGCACATGTACTTTCACATTGTCAAGTGAAGTAGCTTTTTCTCTTGTACTCACATCATGCAGAGGGAAGGCAGAGTCGTAGACACCCTGAGCCAATAATGAGTTGATGCCTAAATTAGAAAATAGGAAGTGCAACGCAGTGTCACAGACATGTTGAGAGGTAGCATGAATGTGCATATGAACAATATAAGAAAGGAGAATAAAACCACAGCTAAAGTTCGACCTCACCAGTGGTTTGCCAAGTTCGACTGCAGACGGTGCGGGAAATAATCTCAGCCACCTAAACACAAAAAAAGGAAATCCAAATGTTGTGAGCTCAACTACATATATATAAATATTCCTCCTTACATAACATTTGTTGGATTTTCTTTCTGTACTTACTATTCTGCTGCGTGTTGCGTTGTCAAATAAGGTTTCTGTTGACTTGATGTCATACCTGCAGGAAATGACAGGAAGCAGTCAAAGACCAAAATGTGAGCGATTAATATTAACAACAGACTTCACTCACTTTCACATTTACCAAATAAAAGTGTTTATTTTGTCTTTGTGTGTGTTTGTTAATCAAATAAATCAGGTAACTTGAGGAAATCACTGTTGAGTGTTTGTTGTAGCTTGCTGTGACCCAGTAGCATTTCAGTAGTCCAAACAGTAAAATTAATTTACATGAAAGCTCCACCATGTTATGATAAGAATGATGTAAGCACACAGCCTGCAGGTGATTTGGATATTATGGGTGTTATCTAAATCACTTATCAGGACTCAACTGAAGGGCATGTTTGTCCCCAGCCAAGGGCGCGGATAAAGTGGGTTAGTTTCCCTTCCACGAAATGTGTGCATGTGAGCGGGACAGACAGGTACTCACAGGTGGAGCTTGTCTCTGATAAAAGGATGTTTGAGGGTTTTGAAGTGGACACGTGTCTGTGAGTCTCTTTGAACCTCACTGTCAGGAACATCCGGAAGAAACGGTGTGCTGATTTTGTTCATAATGGAATCCCACATCCCAGCAATTCCCATCCGTTTCCGCAATTCACACTTCTGCTCAATGAAAACACACATAGAAAAGGTTTGATTCTATTCTACACTAAGTTGTGCACACTACACACATCTCCGTCATCACTATTCACATTGCATTTTTTTGAAGGGGTTGTTGTGTGCACCCAAATAATGATTCTGCAAATGTTAGAATCATGTTACATACAACTTAACATTCAAAACCAGGGTGTGTAAATGGCTGCTGACCTTCTTCACAGCCACTTTGATCTTCTGGAGCTCCGCTTCTCGACTGAGTATTGGCCATGGGATGTGAAGCCGGATAAACCCTATGCCTTTAGCCCTCTGCCAATGTACACACAGACAAACATTAACATAATAAAAACACAAAATGCATTACTACAACCATTGTGTATATTTGTAATTAGATGTGGGTTATAGGCCTCTGTGTATCTTGTTTTTTGACTCCCTTTGCCTTGGATGTAATGCTCTTCTAACTTGACCCATGGCAGCCAGATGAGCCTTCCCTAAACCTGTAAGTATGCTACTTTGTGTAATAATGAGGCTGTTTTGTAGGAAATCCCATTATGTCAAGCCTAGAACCTCCCAATCCTCCAAAGTATAGAAAATGAGTGCAGATAATGTTGGACTAGGTACTTGAAAGCCGCCTTAATGTAGCCAGTCATCAATTTTGATCATGTGAAAAGTGACAAGCTATTACCTTGTTCTATGGCCCACAGAATTATAACCTGCCCATGCAATTACTGTAATGACTTTAATGCAAGGCAGCTACCACTGCACAGGCTCAACCAACACCTCTAATGCTGTGTGTCACCAGCAATTTACCAGCAATTTTCCAACAGCAACATGAACACCCATCATTGGACACTATACACTACCATTATGCCTGTTTTTAAATGCCTTTTTAATAATGTATTTATGCTGTATTTGTTCTTAAATGTCTTTTGCTTTTAATCTGTAAAGCACTTTGAATCGCCACGTGCTGAAAAGTGCTATATAAAAAAAAATGCCTTGCCTATTAAGCTACCTCATTCTGATCAGAAATCATCAAAATGTTATAAAAAGGAAGAATTTTGATGCAAAAATTCATATTTTTACCACTTTGAATGAGTAGTGGTAAAAAAAAAGTATGTCCACAGTTTGGTTGAAAAGTAAATTATACAAAATAAATTGTACAATCATGAAGTATGATGTAAAATAACTTCCGGATGCTGTAGCACAAACAAACAACACAATTAAGCATATTCATACCCACAACAGTAAACAATTGGATGAAACCGTCACAGCTCAGTTACAAAAATGAGATTATTATCGTATTCAAGCACAGGCAGACGGATAGACATACTGTCCAGTACACAGTGACCATGAGTGCCCCCTTCCACCCATTCAATCAAAACTAAACCCACCAATCTCCCCCACTGTGCACTCATGTTTCAGCACACACACTTCTGAGCAGTGGATCACTCTAATAAGGCCCTATAATCTGGCCTTTGGCTTTAGACTCATGGCGAGTGTTCTTAATCCTCAACCAAAACAGCAGCTGATTTAACACACAACCATCTCACAAACACACACACAAAGACACACACACTAACATGCACATATTCACAGACATAGGGAAAACAAACACACTTGCAGATACTATATAATGTACACGACAAAAGACATACAACATCCAACATACTTATTACTGTAATATCGACTATTATAACTATTATTACATCCTATAATAAATCACCAATAAGTCATAAAGGCTATTTTTAACCAGAGTGCAGGCATGTCCTCCAGTTTTAAGGGACAAGCTCAATCTTCCCCTCAACCTGTTTGACAGACGTCCATGACAGGATTTATGTTCACATCACTTAAGGTCAGCTCTGACCCATAAACGTCTATAGAAGTGTGTAGCAGATGAAAAATAATCACGTTGAAAGGACTGTAAAAGCAGAAACGCACCTCTTTATCACGCTGTAGCTGTAGTCCTGCTTCCATTAGACCCGCTTCAAACTCCTGCCTCATTAAAGCCTTTTCCTCCTCAGTCAGCTTTGACTCCTCCACCTCTCCTGCAGGAGCACCTCCATCCCCGGACTCTGCCTCCACCTCACAGCGGCCCGTAATCGAAACGGGCACAGTCCCATTGGAGATAATTGAAAGGCGTGCTTTGGATGGCTTTTTTTTGTATTTGTAGCAAAGGACATAGTCAACTTTTCTCTTGCCATCGGAGAAAAATAATCCAGGGCCTAGCTCGATGCCGGACTCCTGGAGAAATGCAGAAAAGCACAGATGTATGGGGTCAGTGGTGAGGGTTACACATTGGGAATGTAGGTAGTACTTGATACAGATCATGCCAAGTAGGTAATCAATTGTTGTGTGATTTTGAGGATTCAGGATGGGACTGTTTATATTCATAGAAGTCCATACCGGAGGAGGGGGCTCGTCATCGTCGGGGGGGCTGACGGGGCTTCCATTGGCGGCCTCAAACCCAAGCTGGGACAGTGATTGGGCCAAGGACACAAGCTTCACTGAGTGACTGGAAGACCGCTCACTCATTTCTGTGGTGACAGGCACACGTTCTTTTCCGTTTCATCACTGTCGGTACATGATCAGAAAAACAAGAATCCAGTATTCAGAAATTGGGACGATTACCAGTTCTGTGTCTGTTAGTGGAAAGAAATAATCCATTAATGCAGGCACCATTACTCGCTTATAGCTAGATTATATTATTAAAACACAATGGTGCCTTAACTTTTTGTGACCTTTTAAAGTGAAGTGTATCTAACTGAAACCATAGTCAGTGATTGTATGCATTTTACTTTATTGTGTAGCCCATCAATGTCATATTGGGAAAAAAATTGACAACCCAATGTTTTACTTGTAATTATTTTGTATTTAGTTGTGTTTTCTGTTGATAGGAATGTGCTTCCATTTCTTTTCATGTCTTATTTTAGGATGTGTATTCCTTTGAATGAAAAGGGTTTCTTTTATTATGAAGCTATGATAAGGACCTCTGATTTTGATTGTTTATGTCGAGACAGAAATATACATTTTATAGCGTAGGTCAATTTGACCTTTTGGTGTTGTGTTTGAAAAACATCACAGTAGTAGCTGCTACAGACTGGCAAAGTAAGTCAAAGTTAAGCTGTCTCCTCTGTTTTTTACCCAATTGAAGCTGTAGGCTCAGATTAAGCTCACCCTGCAATCCAAGCGGCACAGTTTACAATCTGTGGGGGTAATTTGGTCACTAGGCTCATTCTCCGGAACACGGAAGTGTTAAAGGGAAACCAAGAAGTTAAGTCTCACACTAACAGAAGCACATGGGTATGACAGGGCTAGAATCCACAGACATAAAATATCAAACAAGTGTTTTTAAGAGCAAAAAATAACACTATTAATCACCCTAAAATGTGCCATTCACTTTCTCAACTGTTCCAAGTTTGGAAACAGCCAAATGGATAAGACTACTGTTACCAGGCAGCATAGTTTTAATGGATTTAATTGAATTACATTGAGCCTTTTGTTATACAGATAGTATGGTGCCCTACCTGTGCGTGTTCTGTTAACATGTGACACCACAACTCGGAAGCACATTCATTTATTTTTGGCGGAGCATTAATTGAGCTCTAGGTAATGAAATAGTACATCTGTTCCCTAATGCTGAATAAAGTCTCCTTCCCTACACATGCTCTTATAAACAAGACACATCTTTCACATGTTGCTGTCATCTTGTGTTGTTGTTCAAATGAATATATCTGTGACTATTACTCCATATTTCACACCCCTATCTGTTACTGTTAATTCTGTTTGAAATTCAAAACTTGTACACACAACAATGAATGGAAATGTATACTGCAATGTTTAAATTAAACATTTTTGAATGCACTTGTGTCAATTTAAGTGATCATACAGTTTGGGTCGTTTAACTGATCAGGTCGTAAGATGGGAAATATACACATACAATATTTGAGCCTTTACATCTAATCTAGACACATGTTGTTGGTCAAAATGCCATACAGATTAAATCATTAGTTTTATTGTGGGTGAAAGAGAAAGGGGGTTGCATTCAGTAGCTGTTCCATGCTAGGTTTAAAACTATCCGCTCAGGAGCCATGAGACAAACAAATACACCAACAGTCAACTGATCAGCGTACATATAGAGTGCTTCAAGCGTCAATCTCCTTACAACCCCCCCCACATCCCTGATTATCCCACTTTACAATGTGTTAGCAAACACATAGCAAAGATGGAAAGGGAGAATATATCTCTTAGGGTTCAGCAGGTTAAAAAGGGATTATGTAACAATTAATCCATCTTGAAACAGTGATATGTAGGTCAGTGGTTGCCGAAACCTTTGACCTAACCATCATAAAACAAATGATGACGATTTGCAATCTATCAGGCTTGCACATCCAGACAATAAATGAAAACAGAAAGAATGTAAAATGCTGACAATATTGAGTATGGACACTATCTAATGTACACATAAACATTTCATTAACACCAAGTTACGTTTAAAGCTCTATTTTTCCGTCTTTTACATTTAATTGTTGTGAACATGACTGGTGAGAAAATAGACTAAATAATTACTTTTCCTTATGAGACTTTTTTAAAGTATTGTAAAGGACTGAGGAGGTGAAATATCAGTTATTAAGAAATAAAGGAACACACATTTAGAAAACTGTTATATTCTGTGCACACAAAAATGTGCATTTTGGTCCTCATATCTCTTAGTCAGATTTATGTTGCATCCCATGAGAGTGTCATCGATTTGTTTTAAAGTCATATCTGTACAGAATAAGTACGAGTACAACTGTGGTTGTGTTTGGAAAAACATAGAGGTCTGAGTTTGTTGATCTCATATGTTGTTAGCAAGATTCTCAACGCGTGGTGCATTTGTCAGTTTGCATATAATGTCATACCTTTCCTGTAATGGCTGATTTTCGTGCTGTCTCAAAGAATGCTTACACAGCTCAAGTTGTGAATAAAAAATAAATGCACATTTAATTCAGACTTTAATCAAGCATCAATTAACCAGAACATCAGAGGTAGACTACCATGCCTTGTAGATTTTATTTCCTATTTTTACTATTCAATCTCCATATGGAAAACAACCAATATTTCTGTCTGTGACTGTTGTTTTACTCCTTCATGATATTTGTAAAACGTTTTTATGCTGTTCTTTGGGCATGATATATCTTTACATTAATGTCTAACTATCAAAAACAAGTTTACTCGGTCAAATAAAGTGATAGATCTACCTAAAGAAAGGAGACAATTATCATTAAAGTGTAATAAACCAATTAAATAATAAATTTCAAAATGTTGTCACTATTTGCAATGCAAGAAAACACTTTAGTTTAAAATATTAGGGGCATTTAATTTGTCCAAAAACACTTCTTGCAAACTTTACCAGATATCAAAATGGATCCTATTTTGCTTTATAAGATGTTCTTATTAGTTTCCTTCATATCTATTATAACTGATGCCTGAGTATTAGGCATTAATTATATTTGTATATCGTTTCTGCACTATGGAGACGGCACAAGAGGAATGCGCAAATGCATCCAAGAGTGTCTCTGCTCGGGGTTTAAAGGCTCGTAAGCTCTCTGATAGGCAGGAGAGCCAGCTGCACCCTCACACGAACAAGAACCAGGCAAAGGGCAACAGGCGAAAGGTGTAATACGGCCTGTCATGGGATACAGCAGATTACTCTTTGCTAATTTTAACATCTAAATAATTCCTTTCTAAAGCCATAAAAGGAAACATACCGTTTTGAAACTAACAAACACTTTAGCTTAAAGTGATACATTAAATACAAGTGCAAATCACCTGTAGCCTACTTGCAGTGAGTTTTACTTTAACTGGTACACCTGCCTGTAGCCTACATTTGTATTTACAAAAACAGCAACTAATTTAATTCAATTTTTGAATAATTAATCCTCAAGCATTTCCAGGAGCTGTTTACTCGATATGTGTTTAATTAATCCTTCATGGACACAACAATTGTGTGCACCCAGATGGTCAGAGCTAAAAAAAACAAACAGCCCCTGGCACGCGACCCTAAAGCTATCGGGGGATTTCTACACTAAACAGGGGTTAAGGTGAAGCTTTGTTTATGGAGTAATCCTAACGTCCACACAAGCAGCTATAGTTCCAATTATTAACTGTCAAAGTGCAAAAAGACACTTTCAACCCGACAGCAGGGCAAATAAATGTAAAATGTCGTTTAAAAAAAAATCACACTTACTTTACATTCAAGAAAAGAATAACGTGGACTCACCAGTGCTCGTGGAGGATCAGTGCTTCGCTATGGTGATGTATGCTAAGACGCGCGAGGTGCGCAGCCTGACGAGAAGCTGAGATGGTAGAGACAATCCTCGCGCGATCCCGGACCCGTGGCTTAAAGCGCGCGCGCACAGGGCAGCTAATTCCCTGACCGTTTCGAACGCGAGAGAAAGAAGCTCTGATACAAATTAGTTACCAATGCAAGAGGTGTGTGTGTGTGTGTGTGTGTGTGTGTGTATTGTAGTCTTTTGGACTTGTTGTACCCGAAGAAAGGATGATCAGTGAGCAAAACAAATCCAAGAAGGGATGCAACTGATTATTTACCTTATTGAGCAATCTGTTGATTCTTTCAGTAGGTACCCTCAAACTAAGCACTTAGCAAAATAATATTTGGTATGAGCAAAAGGGTTAAGTTTATTAAAATGAAACAATGTAATCTCTTAACAGGCAAGCCTAACATTCAGCAATTATTAGGAGAAAGCGTTGGAATAATGATTTAAAACTCAATGAAAGTTTTGAAGGAAATCCTGCTTTCTCCATTAAGGAAGCTTATTACACAGTTTTCTTAGCCATTTTTTCACATGCCAGTGAATTGATTTATCATTTGTACGGTCCATCTATTAGAAGATCAAGAAAATAAACAAAGAGGAACTTGTTTTGTTGGAGCAACAGTCCAATACCCAAACATATTCAATTTAAGGTCATATAAAAACAAAAGCTTCTCAGAAATCAGAAAGAAAGAACTTACAGGTGACTTAAAAGTGAACCTTGTATACCCTCTACAGGCATGCCTCAAAAATAAGTTATTTGCTCACAAAGGGCTGCAAAGATTCATTATTTTATTGAATGATTGATTGATATTGGAATTACAAATGCTAAACATTATGTATTTATCTTAACTATGTTAAGTAGCAGTCAAAACCACAGGAAATTCAATTATGATCATTTGAAATTGCAAGATCTAGGTATGAAAAAGCATTACATCTTTATAAGAATCTATATCATTTTTGAATTATTCAAACATGTAAACAGATATCAATCTCCAGCATGTAGATTTCAACAGACACAGACAAAAAGGGCTCATGGAAATTGGCAAGTTTGTTTTATTGTTATTGTTGCTCTTATCATTGTATGTGGGTACATTTGATGTGGATATACACAATACGTTTACATTTATAACCTTATAACTCACTTATCCCTCCTCTCCTTCCTCTCTAGGTGCAGTGTTTGGACATACAGTCACACGCAGTGACAGACAGGACAGTCTGGTGGCTGTGGGTGCCATTGGCACAGAGCAGGGGAACATCGAGAGGCTCCGTCTCCACAGCAGCACAGCACACACACTCCTGCTCCACTGCAGCGCTCTCCAGGGAGTACATGGACTTACTGCGACATTTGCCCTGATGGACGGACGAACAGATGGACAGACAGAGACAGATGGACAGCGACACAGGGTGAGAGAGGAGGGTGGGAAGGAGGGACAGTGTTAAAAAACGATTTCATTGAACTCTGCAGGCTAATCCTAGGGGATGGGAAGTAATAATCACCCTGTGCGTGTCTGTAGTTTCTTACCTCACAGTAATGCAATTCTATTTGGTGCTCTGACTGGCAGTCATCCAATTTGATGTAGTTTAGCGTTCCTGCTGTCCTACGGCACTCTGGCTCCGTACCTTCACATATGCACACACTCTTATTAAAATCACAGCGTTCACATTTTTTTAAACACTGTACCAATCTTGCAAAGGTCACATTACTTAATTAATACTTACACATTTCACAGCAGGTTGTTCCAATCTGACTGACTTTCCCCTGAAATCCCACAGGAGAGAAACATTTAACAGAGAAGTAAGGGTAGATGTCAGTATGTATGGGCAGTTTGTGTAGCATCGTACCCCCTGGTCGAGGCACGTCTGGCGGTTGAAAGGAGGGCAGGTGGTAATTTTGGTTTGCAGAACAAGATCGCCTTTACTGTTCACACCACAGCTATACAGGTTGCAACCGTCCTCGCTAGTGGTGTTCACCTGAAGAGAGACATGCACACACATACAAATACAGTTTTTATGCATAATGCTGAAAAGCAATTCTTGCCATTTGAAATGTACCAAAGCAAACAGCTGAAGACAAAATATCACTAATCTGATGCAAAAACCAACTTTTACTATATCATATCTTATTTTATTGGCACTACTCTATTGATTAAAGAAAGTGTAGTTAATTGTGGTTTAATATAACATAGTGCAGTCTAGCGCTAGTCAGTATGGTATAACATAGTATAGTATAGTGTATTGCAGTATGCAGTTGTATGATATAGTATACAACATTTATTATTTTACAGCCTTGTTGCAGAATCAGTACTGATTCGTCCAAAACATTCGATTTTACAATGTGTTATTTCTGCTGCTTTCAACATCAACATTATTACTTGAATTCAATTTGTTTAACTTTCAGTTAATGATCCAGGCATGTCCTTTGCTGCTGAGCACCTACCTGCAAACTGATCAGATTTCCATCCGGCCCTTGCATGAAGCAGGCAGTGGGAACACATCGACCACAGCAAGCGTTTTCCTCCTTTTGAAGAGTGTATCCCTGAAAACAATTGGATTAATATGGTCTTTATATAGGCATTTTTTTACGGCCATTTTTTTCCAAATAAACAGTTCTCTACTTACCTCTGTGAATGGAGTGAATCATAGAAAAATATGAGTTTAAAATGTGTTGATGAGTAGAGAGGGAATGTGGTCAGTGGATTAAAGGATCTTTGATGGAAATGATGGAAGTTCGATTTGAATGGTTAGTCATGAAAATAATTATGATGACAAAGGATAATGGTGGTAATACAAAATAATGACGGGATGTTGGTTACCATGGGGCAAATGGGACAACTCATACTCCTGCAGGACAGCCGGTATTTCTTCACGGCACCATCCTCCACCGTACACTCACATTGTGTACACACGTCCATCATCAGCTTCTCTCCTGCCTGCACAAACACACACACATGGAGCAGTGAAGGAACTATTTTAAAGGCTCTTATATGAAAAAGAGTGCTTTTCTTGTGCACATGACTTACTCCTATCACAGTGTTGTTCAGGACACAAGCATTCATTGGAGCTGTAAAGAGAAAAGCACAAAAAAATACATTTGCCATTCATATTAAGGACAGGTAATGGTTATGTTTATGTTTTTTATGTTTTATGTCTTGTCCTTGTATGTTTCTTTGTAAAGCGACCTTGAGGTTATGAAAGGCGCTATATAAATTCAAGTTACTATTATTATTATTATTAACAGGCTCTGGGATGACACCGGTGTGAGAGAGTCACCTGCTGGACAGACCCTGCATCTGCACCTCAGTAAAGTGTATGAGTGACAGCATGATGATTCAGGAAAATGAAATAATGCATGCTAGTGGAAGGTCAGTCTCCTAATGCCACCCTGCTTTATCAAATGGTGTGTTTGAGTCCTTTTTTAAATGATGTTTATGAATGTGAGTTTACCGCAATGGCAGCGGGGGCAGCAATCTTCGGTGTTGCAGCGTAACTCTGTTCCCAGCGGGCAGGAAGGAGTGTCCAAAGCAGAGCAGCTGACGTTTGTTGCAGAGATGAACGCCTCGTCTTTTACTTTCAGACACTGATGTAACACACATTTTTCATGTGGGGACTGCCACACCTCTCCCACCTATAGACAGACACAGATATTTGATAAAAGTGAATATAAGAGAGAAAGAAAATGCAGAAGTGTTGAATTTATCTGTACATAGAGCAAGACATATAATCCCCCATTTATTTAAAGGCTTCTTAAAGAGAATGTTTGGATCTTGTAAAGGTGGTCAGCCACCCCTTATTTGGTGTCTTTTTTTTCAAAACTCGGATCATGCAGAGGCCCATCTACTTTGTGTAATACATTGACTATGGATAGGTACTACATACAGCCCCTCTTTAAAACATCCAAACAGTCAGCTGTAAATGAAATTCTACACCTAACACCCTACACAGCGCGCATTGACAATTACACAAAAAACAAACATTAGAATGAATTGGTTTCCTATATTGTTCATGCGTGTATGATTTCTCTGCACACATACATGTCTGAGGTTTTGCCTCAACAGATTGTCCCCTCGCATCTCCCCCGCTGACTCCACACAGCTGCTCGGTGTGCACTTCCCACAGCACTCTCCGTTTGATGGAGTGTACGTGGAGCCCTGAAATACACAATAAACATATATGAGTTACAATAAAGGTATAGAAGCATAAAGCAAATGTGAATGTTTAATATGTGTGTGTCCCACCTGAGGGCAGTTTCGATCACACACAGGCGGTGTACACTGAGCAATGTGCAGTGATGTGTCTTTGTCCTGTAGCTGGGTACAACTGCACTTCTCGCATCCTTCCTCCCATTCACTCCCCAATGGGTGGACCACGGAACCAACCACGCATACCTGGAGAGACACATGATGATAAAACAGGATAGTTTCAACAGTAACAGCACAGAAATAGGAACCGATGCATGTTGACAAGCACAATATGTAACTAACTACATCTAAACAAGGCCTGTTTTTTTATTTAGAAATGTCAGGTACTTGAGTCTTCCTCATCATGCCTCTTTCTACTTTTACCCAATTACATTTAGGAAGCAAATATTACATTAATATACATAAATATTAATTGGCATACAGAACACGCAAATCATTTTCCGGTAATTTTGTGCTGATGGATGAGCACAAAGGAGTTAATTGGGGCTCTGTGTGATTGTTCTCGTATTTCTCACCAATATCCTCATTTTGATAAAAAGTAAAAGAGAAAATAATCAGGAGATTAATAAAAAAGAAAAAGGAATTCATAAAAATAATCATTATTTGCATTCCTTTAAGATGACATCTACCTTAACCAGCTACAGCATTCAAACCCTGGTTATAAATGTGTTTATCTATAATAACCCTAATGATAGTACAGCAGTCACAGGGGAATACTTTTACTAGAATACTTCAGATTCCTCGAGACCTCCACCACTGCTCTTCACACACCTTGTCCGGCAGGCAGCTGGTTTCTGTGCAGCTGCAGTCGTTGGTAGAAGAGGAAGTGATGAACCCAGCAGGGCAGGTGTGTGTGGAGTTCTGGCAGTTA